ACATTGAGTTCATTTAGTAGTGCTAATGTGTTCCTGTGTTTGGGCCTGCCCACTTGGGATTGGATAACCTCTCAGGGAGCTCGTCCCTGGAGAAAACTGACTCTCCCTCCCTCAGCCTTCATTGAGGGCCTGTAGCTCTTCCTCTTGATGTGGGATCTCATGAAATTTCCCCCATCCACCTTGGCATGCCAACTGGTTTTGTCATTTTCCAGATCTTGTTAGACTACCATACTATGGAGATTTCATTGGTGTCACTTCCCTATCCTGTCTAGATTGCTTTAACTAGCAACAGGTGTCTTGTTCCTCTGGCTTAGGTTCTTTTTTTTAATATTTTTTAAAAATGTTTTATTTTATGTGTATGAGGGTATTGTCTGCACATATGTAAGTGCACCTGAGTTGTGAAATTCCTGAGGCCAGAAGAGGGCATCAGATCCCCTGGAACTGGAGTAGTGGATGGTTGCTAGCTGTCTTGTGAGTGGTGGGAACTGAACCTGGGTCCCCTGGAAGAGAAGCCAGTGCTCTTAACCACTGAGCCATATCTCCAGTCCATGGCTTACATCCTTTCTACCACCTCTTCTGAGATGTTCCCTGAGCCTTAGGTGCAGAGATTGCATTATAGATGTGTCACTTAGAGCTAAGAACATTACAGTTACTTATTCTCTATGTTTGACCAGTTGTGGAAATTTGTAATTGTCTCCATTTGTTGTCAAAAGAAGCTTCTTTGAAGAGTGGTGAAAAGTATACTTGTCTCTAAATATAAGGATACATATTTAGAAAATAGTAAGAAATTACATTGGTCTAGTGAAGTGGCAGAAGTAGGTTTTTCTTTAGTATCTATAATCTCTCCAGCCATGTGTGCTAGGCTATGTTTACAGTATCATGCATGAGCTCTCTCTCACTGGGTGGGCCTTACATCCATTTAGACAGCTGTTGATTACCTCTAAGATAAAAGTGCCACTACTGTACCAATAGAGATAATTTGCTGGGTCAGTCATCGTTGTGGTTAGTAGGCTTTATAGTTGGGTAGGACTATTGATTGGTTTTCTGCCTCATTAACTTTCATAGTATCAAAAGATACTGTGAGAGCTGGTCTTTGGGGAAGAGACTTTCAGGTCAGTTCCGGATCAGTTGCCTCAAGACATGTGTGAAATATGCCCTGTCTTCATCAGTAGGATCCTACCTTCAAGTTCTGGGAGGCAGTCAAGGACTGTGGCAATAGCCTGTATTATTTTGGGTGTGTCTTGAACTATCCTGATCAACAACTGGATAGAAGATTTCCCTTGCCTGGCATTGTGATTTTTCTTTTATAGCCTTTAGCTATACACATGCACTCACATTTATATTATAGGAATATTTTTCAGTTGGCTTATTAAATACATTTCCCTTTAGCTGTTCTCAACACATAAGTATTATTTATTTCTCTCTCCCCTCTCTGCCCTGTATAGTCCTTCCTCCTCCCTCTCCAGTTAAAGTGCCCCCCGTTTTCCTCATTTCCCCATTGATAACACATGTGTCCTACTGGCCCCCTCTCTTGAGCTCCTTTTCCCCCTCTTCCTCCATGGTTCCCTTCCATTTTCATGGCTCCCAGGGTTACAAGATATAGGTACAGGAAAGGACTTGTTAAATTTGACTTCATTTGCTCAGGAATTAAGGCCAACAGTGGACAAATGGAACCTCATTAAGCTAAAAAGCTTCTGTACAGCAAAGGAACCAACCAATTAGTGAAGAGGAAGCCCTCAGAGTGGGAGAGAATCTTTGCCAGATACACATCTAATAGAAGATTAATTTCTAGAATATACAAAGAACTAAGAAAAACAAAGAATCAAGAAAACATATGACCCAATTAAAAAATGGTCTACAGATCTAAACAGAGTTCTCAAAAGAAGAAATAAAAATGGCTAGGAAATAACTTAGAAGTGTTCAACATTCTTAGTAGGTAGGGAAATGCAAATTAGAAATACATTTTTTTCATTTTATTTTTGTTTTACGCATATTAGTATTTTGCCTGAATATATGTAAGTGTACATGTGTTGTGAAATGCCCATGGAGGCCAGAAGATGGTGTCAGCTTCCAGAACTGGAGTTAAAGATGGCTGTTAGCCACCATGTGGGTGCTGTGAATCAAACCCAGGTCCTCTGGAAGAGCAGCCAGTGCTCTTATGTGCTGAGCTATCACTTCAGCCCCAAATTAAAAATACATTAAGATTTCATCTTACCCCAGTTAGAGCAGCTAAGATCAAGAAAACAAATGACCACAAATACTGGTAAGGATGTGGGGAAAGGGAAACTCTCATTCAATGCTGGCAGGATTCCAAACTGGTACAACCACTATGGAAATCAGTGTGGAGAACTTTTTAAAAACTAAAACTAGGTCTACCGTATGACCCAGATAACTCCTCCTTGGCATATACTCAAAGGACTGATATCCTACTACAGAGATACTTGCTCAACCATGTTTGTTGCTTCTCTTTTCACAACAGCTAGGAAATGGAAACAACCTAAATGCCCCCCAATTGATGAAGAGATAATGAAAATGTGGTACATTTGCATCATCTGTAAAGAAAAATGAAATCGTGAAATTTGCAGGTAAATGGATAAAACCAGAAACTTTTATACTAATTCAAGTAACCCAGATTCAGCGACATATGTTCTCTCTCATCTGTGAATCCTAGCTCCAAATCCTTAGCCTCCTTTAAAAAAAAGTATTTATTTTAATTATGTGTATACATGTGTGCATGCATATACATTTGTGCATACATGAATGTAGGTGGCCTTGGAGTCAAGAAGAGGGTGTTGGATCCCCTGGAGCTGGAATTATAGGCAGTTGTGAGCTGCTCAATGTGGATGCTGGGGTCTGAACTCGGGTCCTCTAAGAGAGTATACATGCTCTTACCTGCTGAGCCATCTCTCCAGCCCCTGAAATAGCCTCTTTAATTCTTCTATTCATCCTTCCTTATACTCTACACTGCAACCTTTAAAGACAGCTCAGATCATGTCTCACAGTTGTATACTTAAGTGTAGATAAAGAAGGGAACCATAGGCCGGGCGTGGTGGTGCATGCCTTTAATCACAGCATGCACCACCATGCTGGGAGTAGAGGCAGGTGGACCTCTGTGAGTTCAAGGCCAGCCTGGTCTACATAGTGAGTTCCAGGCCAACTGGGGCTACAGAAAGACCTTGTCTCAAAAAGACCAAGAAACGAGAAAGGAACCATACACCATTTGTGTACAGGGTGGTGATCTGGGCAAGGGTTGATGGTGACAAAGGAAGATTATACATCATCTCAGTACTTGGCTCCCAATAAATCAGTGTTACAGGAAACAAGAAACTAAACATTTATACCATGAATACTTATTATGCACTATGGGGTTATAGAGGTGAAATACATGATTCTTATCTATGAAAATTCACAAATTTCTATAGGACATAAAGTATGCATGCACATTACACTAAAAAGACAAAAGAGGGCTTGATTATGAATATACTTATATAGACCCAAGCATTAGAGATTTCTGGGGCTGGGGAGGTGGCTGTTAGTAAAGTGCTTGCCACACAAGCATGAGGACCTCAGTTTGGATTCCCAGGAACCATGTAAAAAGCCAGACAGAACAATACATGCTTGTAATCGCAGTGCTGGGGAGGCTGAAACAAGAGAACATCGGGGGCTTGTTTGGCGTCTAGCCTTGTCCAATTGGTGAACTCCAGGTTCAGTGATAGGCCTTATCTCAAAAAAAGGAGAACACTAAACAACAACAACAAAAGGTGTTGAGAGCAATAGAGGAAAACACCTGATGTGCTATGGTGTGTGTGTGTGTGTGTGTGTGTGTGTGTGTGTGTGTGTGTGTTGTATACACACTGGTGTGGGGAGGGGGGCGTTACCCAGCTTTATGCATGTGGAGGCCAGAGAAAAACATTGGTGCCTTCATTGGTGTCATCACTTTCACTGAACCCTTTTTACTATTTTGGCTAGGCTTGCTGGATAGTGAGCTCCTGTCTCTGCCCCCTGGAGCTGGAGTTACTGACATACTTGGCCATGCCTAGCTTTTATGTGGGTGATGGGAATTTGAACCCAGGTCATCATGCTTGTACAGTATGCTGTTTAGTTTTGTTGTCAACCTAAGACAAGCCTAGACATACCTGAGAAGCAGAAATCTCAGTTGAGGAATTTCCTGTACTGGATTGGCCTGTGAACATATCTATGGAACATTTTCTTGCATGCTAATTGATATAGGAGGCCCAGCCCACTGTGGGTAGTGCCGTCCCTGGGCTGTATAAAGAGGTGACAGAGCAAGTCAGAGGAAGCAGCCAGTAAGCAGCATCCCTCTATGATCTCTGCATTCAGGTTCCTACCTTGAGTGCTGCCTTGGTTTTCCTCAATGATGGACTTTAATTTATAAACAGAAATGAATCCTTTCCGCCCCAGTTTTCATTTGGTCATGATGTTTATTACAGCAACAGAGTAAAGCTAACAATTAGCAAGCACTCTTACCACTGAGCTGTTCCCTAGCCACATGATAGTTTTGATTTCTATATGTCTATATTCTGAAGTAGGGGGTCTAATTTTTATTTTTACCCCAAACAGGTAGCAGATTATCCTCCAAATAAAACTGAGGTATGCCACCATGATATAAATGATCTTCAGAAGTTTTCCTCTGTGAATGAATATGATTCTACTAATTCGTATTTCATTCTGCTTAAGAATAATTCTTTTAAGAGTGCAACATTTGAGGGACACCAACTAGAAATAGTATAGTGTAACAGTAGTACTGAGGTTGTTCTCTTGATATCTAGCTGAGATAAATGCAGCCAGCAATAATTTTGGCTCTTAAGGTCAAATATTCCTAGAGAAGATATTGAAAGACATTACTTGTTAAACTAAGATATGGATGGGAGAAACTATTGTCTTCCATAATGCGGCAGTGAACTTTAGATGAAGCAGTTTTCATGTTTTAAAAAATATTTTATTTTTTAATTTTATGTGTATCAGTGTATTGCCTGCATGTATGTAAGTATACCTGTGTCATGCAATACTTGTGAATGTCAGAAAAGGGCTCAGCTTCCCTAGAACTGGAGTTACAGATGATTGTTAGCTGCCATGTGGATGCTGGGAATCAAACCCAGGTCCTATGCAAGAGCAGCCAGAGCTTTTGACTATTGAGTCATCTCTCCAGCTCCTCATGTTTTTTTTTTTTTTAAATAATGATTGAAATACATCTACTATTAATTAAAATAATGAGGACTTGTATGTTAGTTACTTTTCTTATTGTTTTGACAAAATACCTGGCAAAAGCCACAGAAGACTCACAGCTTGAGGGTGTAGTCCACAAAGTCCTAGATGTCATGGCAACAGGATGTGTGAGTCAGCTGGTCATGTTGCACCTGCTGACAGGAAGCCGAGAGGATGAATACTGGTATTCAACACTTTCTCCTTTTTATTTTGTTGTGCACTGTAGTCCATGGGATGATGCCACCCACAATTCAGATTGGATCGTCACTGCTCTGTGAAACCTTTCTGGAAACATACTCATAGATTCACTCAGAGATGTGTTTTTATGGCAATTCTAAATCCCATCAAGTTAATAATGAAGAGTCACCATCACAAGTTATTGTCTGAATTTTTAGTAACCAACATTTTTCTATTCCTTAATCTTTGAACCAGTGTAAAAACCATTTACAAAATCGTGAGGATAAATGGGTCTAATAAAGATAGTTTTTCTGGAAATGTGAAAATAAAGTGGGTAAGGGAAAATGCCAAATAATTCTTTTGTTTCATTCAGGGAAACACCATTCAAATAACCTAGTAGTTCATTGCATAGAGAATAATGGTGAAATTCATCTGTAAATAGTGAATAATTTCTCCCCATTTCACTATATGCAGGCTTCAAACAACTAACGTCCTCACTTGCCATCACATTGGGTCAGTGCGATCTAACAGATTCAACCATCTGTCTGTGTTTTCTTCCACTTGCAACATCTGTTCTTTCTGGTGATCTGACTGTTTTTCTCTGCTTTCTGATTCATGTAGAGCAAGCTGTCTCAGAAATGTACTTGCTAACTAAAAGGAAGTCTCCTGGACTATGGAAAATTTGGAATATTCGCCTATTGTATTTACCTACATGTAACATTTAAAAATTTAAGATGTATCTGTGTATTTGTATCAAGTTCTTATTGACAGAAGGTTTTTAAATATTGAAGAAAATCAAATATGTATAAACTTACAGCCAAGCTTGTGAGAAATAAATGCAGTTCTCACCTGATGTGGTTGTGCAGACAATTCATGTACTGTTCCAAACCTTTTTGAGAAGTGCATCTTGGCATCACACGCCTTCCTCCACAAATACATTCTTTTTGTGTTTCCCCAGTGAAGGTCTTATGGTGACAACTTCTATCTGGTTTTTCCTTTTTTTAAGTTTTTACCTTTGTTTTTAAATTTTTGACAGTTTTCTTATTTAATTTCCCTTTTCAGAACGTTGTTCCATTGTAAGATTCCACTAGGCCCTGGCTCTCCTTATTCTGACTAAGCAATTAGCTATTAGTTTACCTGTGTCTCTCTTGTGTGTAATCTATCTTTTCTTTCTAGTTGCTTTCAAGACTTTCTTCTTGACTTTATTATTCTGCAAAGTCACTATAATGTAGCTGTGAATTTTTAATTTGACATTTAATTTTAAAAATTTTAAACTTTTCTTACCTATTCTTTAGTATTTTAGACTTATTTGCCTCCCTAAATATTGTTCAGTTTTAAAGTCCATTCCTTAATCATAATAAGTAATTTCTTTTTTTACCATTTGAGTTTTAAAATTAATTTATTACATTTTCATTTTTAGTCTTTAATTTTTTCTGATTAATTTCAATTATCTTTTTTCTTATTTATTTGTTTATTGAGTTACTGAGTTATTGAGTGAGTTATTGAGACAGGGGCCCTCTTACTCTGTAACCCAGGCTGACCCTAAACTCAGCAGTCCTCTTGCCTCAGCTTCCCAAAATGTTGTGATTATAGCAATGAGCCACCATAACTGGCTCACTATTTCTTTTTCATTGCTCATGGTTTTCAATCGTTATAATATTTCTCCACTCTTATACAGTTCAGGATCCCTTGCCTAAGGAATAGTGCATAGCAGACTGGTGATTCCCACATCAATTAACTTAATTAAAACAGTTCCCCATAGACATGTCCACTGACCAACCCAATGTAGGCAGTCCCTCACTAAGACTCTTTTTCTAGGTAATTCTAGGTTATGTCACATTGACAATTAAAGCATCACACTGTTACTAATTTTTCTTCTCATTGCTGTGACAAAAGCCACTTAAAGGATTTATTTTGGCTTACAGTCTGAGGGTATGTTCTATCATAACAGGGAAGGTATGGCAGAGAGTGGTGACAGGAATGTGAGAAAGGTGGTCACATTGTGCCCAGTGTCAGGAAGCAGAAGGACATGAATGCTGGTGCTCAGCTGGCTTCCTTCTCCTATCCTGTTCAGAGTCCCAGCCTACCAGTATTCATCCATGTTCAGAGTGAGTCTTCTCAGCTAAACCTCTCTGGAAACATCCTCACAAACATGCCAGCGGTACGTCCCCTAGGTGATTCCAATCCAGTCAAACTGACAATGAAGATTAGCCATCACAAGAATTTATTTTAAATTTCTGAGTGATCCTCCAGTAAACTAAGGGAAACAGTGAAGTCAAGACTAAATGAGGAACATACGATCAAGAAGATAGGAAAAATTTCAAGCTATTATGTTCTTGGCCAACTATATGAGTCATAGTAGCTCAGAGATACTCTGCAAAAGAGAATATGAAAACAAAGACTTGTGTGAACCAGAGTCACTCTATGTAATGTCTACAACCTTAGTGAAAGGGTGAACAGAAGAAAAAGAAACCTGATTCTACTGATAATAAAATAGAATGCTTGCCTCAGCATTGGCTCCAGATAGAGACTCTTTTTAATGCTTACATTGTGTGGTGTTTCTTGAGATCTCTGAATCTGTCTTTTGGTGTCAGTCTTCAATTCAGGAAAATTATTGGTTATTGGCAATTACGACTTCAAATACTTCTCCTGCTCTGTTTTTTCTTTCCGTTATTACATTTTACATGTGGAAAATTTTTGCTATAGTTCTACAGTTCTTGAATTTTCTGCCTTTTTTCATTCTTCTTACTCTTTGGAAAGCTTCAATGGAAGATGTCCAGATTCACTGATTCTTTTACTGGCCATATTAATCTATACCAGGGAAACTCACTGAAGGCATTCTTCATCCCTCGTGCCTTACTATTATTTCTAGCACTTCCTTTAGCTCCTTTATGAGGGTTCCATTCACTGCTTACAGCACCGTAGCATTTTGTATTTGTGTACTTTTAGTACTAGTGCCCTTAACATAGATTGTAAACCCCCTCTCTTACGATTTCAACATTTGTGATATTTTTGAATTTTACTGTGACAGATACTCTATCTTTTCATGTTGGATATTTTCTTGTTTTGTATCATGCCATGTGATTTCATGTTAAAGACAGTAATAGAGACTGAAACAAATAGGTCTTTAGCAGGAGGATGTAATGTTAATCTTGCCAGATGAGCCACCTGATGTTTTTTGTAATTTTTGGTACTAGCAGCTTTGAATTTCTCTAGTCCTGATTTTTCTTTTGTCATCACACTTAAGGAAAAAATCATGTGTGTGTGTGTGTGTGTGTGTGTGTGTGTGTGTATTCCATAAACAGAGTCTGTCTTTTAGCCCTTTCAGCTATAAAGTACTGTTGTTATACAGCAGTTCTGCTGGCTAGTGGTAGGGTCTGTGGTAAGAAGTGCACTTTATAATCTTCTGATACAGCTCTGTTGTTTTAGCGGGTAGTGCCTTGGGCCTGTGGCCTTCATGTGTTTTTGTCCTTTCTTCGAAGGCATAACTTTTATTTCCTCCTTATGTGTTCTTAGAGGAGTGTTCCCAGTCTGTTGCCTAAGTTTTTCCTCAGTTGACTGTGACCAGCATGAGACAGGAGGGCAGCATCGGACTGGAGTAAGAAAGAATTTGTATCCCCAACCTGGGATAAATTGTCAGAATAATGCTCTAGCAAGAGCTTTCCTGGAATGTAGACTCATTATAGAGCAGAATGTGGGTGTGGTTTGTAGATATTGTTCTCTTCACCCAGCTAGGCCTAAGAAGGAATTTTTCTTGCTTGATAAGATTCTCAGAAAGCCTGTGCAAGTGTGGAGGCCTAAAATAAATGTATGAATTTTAGCACCTTTTTGTTGGGGCTAAAAACACAGTGGCTGGTGATTGGTAGGCAAGTCACACTCAAGACTCCACTTTTAAGTGTTCCTGTAGCTGTACGTATGTAGTGGCACCTACAGGTTAGCAAACACTAGCTGCTGTGAAAGTGTATGTCACTGCAGATTTGAGGACAGGCCTTTGCTTGAAAGGATCAGTTATCTAATGAGCTCAAAAAGAGCACTGATTTTAAAATGTATCCAATTATTTTTGTAAGGATGTTGGTGACAATTTCCAGGCTCTGTAAAAAGATGCTTATCAGAGGGCTTTGATGACCAGGGCAACTGTAGGTATTAAAAAAAAAAACATAGGAGTGCTTTATCAGTAAAATGTTAGTTAGAACACCTCCACTGAGGTGAAGATATTCCAACTGCTTTTAAGACCCTTAGTTTACTCAAGATTCAAATTTCAGGAGTTCTGAAGAGAAAGTGTCAAGAGTAACAGCAAAGTTTTTGACATTTCTTGAATCCTTATATAAATTAGAGTGACCAGGTAGACAGCAAAGCTATCTGAAGAGCATTTACAACAAAATTAGAGTACAAGGTATCTCTCTAAACCCTAGAATACCCATGTCACAGCTGTGGCTATCATTTTCTTTCTGGTAGAAACCTGAGATGATTATTCTTGCAGGAAGAACTCGCCTTTGGACTGATTAAAATGAAAGCTGCTGAAGCAGTTGGAAATGTTCTTAAGGTGAATAATGTTTTCAGGGGTATTTGCCTTATAATAATGCACTCAACCGTATATTTGTTTTGTATGATTTTCTGTATCTGGGTCTTATTTTATAATAAATGTTTAAATGCTAAAAGTCATTCTATATGAAAAAGTTTCTAACTGGTAGAGTTTGGGGCACAGGGATATATATAATATATACAATACACACACACATACACACACATATGCACACACATACAAACATAAACACATATACACATATGCACACACATGCACACACTGATTAGGGGCATGCTGGTTTCACTAGATTGAGTGTAGAAGTTATTTCTCAAAAGAAGGAGGATTGCAATTAGATTGTGGGAGATGATGGTAGGTAATCTAAATTTAATATTTTTCAGGTTAATATAGTTTCACTCTAGACTTTGATAGCACTGATATGGTATATCAATTCTATTGTTTTAAGCAGCAAAACCAATTAGGTGAACAAGGCCATTTAAAAGCAGATTCGGGCTGGGGCCACAGTTCTGTGGTAAAGCACTTGCTGGCATGTGTGAGACATTGGGTTTGATCCCAACAAAAGGGCAGTGCTAGCTGGACTTTGTAGGACAAGAACAACAATGAAAAAGAGGACATGAAGTTGGGAGGAAGACATTTGGGGCAATTCCCAAGGGGAAGAGCTGGAGGCAAGAAATAGGGAATGGATGTTATAAAAATAGAGAGGCTGGAGAGATGGCTCAGCCATTAAGAACACAGGCTGCTTTTGTAGAGGTCCTGGATTCAGTTCCCAGTGCCCACACAGGGGCCAACAATCATCTGTAATTCCAGCTCCAAGGATTTGACATCGTTTTCTGGCCTCTGTGGGCACTGCATGCATAGGTGCGCTTACAAACATGCAGGCAAAACACTCATACACATAAAATAAAATTAAATAGACTAGAAAACCCCAAATTGTCATATGTTTGTGAAATTTTCAAAGAATGAACAAAATTATTATTTAATAATAATTATTTAATTTTTAAAAAAGATTCTAAAATTTAACCATCAGGTAACTAAGAAATTCCAACAAATAGTTTTATAATCAAGTATATATATAGCTAATAAAAAGAGCATAAGCTGGGCATTGTGGCACATGCTTTTAATCCTGGCACAGGGGAGGCAGAGGCAAGCAGATGTCTCTAAGTTCAAGGCCAGTTTGGTATATATAGACAGTTCCTGGCCAGGCTAACCAGGACTATATCATGAGACCCTGTCTCAAAATTAATTAATTAATAAAACCACAAAACATTTATAATGAACAAATATATAAGGCTCTTCAAATAATAAAAAATTGCTGGTACATTCTGATTATAATTTTTAAA